AACCCTTGATTGGCTTTTTACCAATGGGTGGGTTAGCCAGAGAGTGGGAGAAAAATTCCCATCCATCAGAGAAGTCATGACATGGAGATCTACAGGCCATAACCTTTTTTTTTTAATCAAAACATTAATCTCCCTAACCTGTTATTGCAAACTGTATCAGCCTTCCCAAATTTGGTGCATTCCAGAGGCATCGGACTCTTGCTACCATGCTCCACACAAATTACCAGATCTGCTTCCTCTCTCTGCACATGCAGTTTTTTCAAGATGAGAAAGTTGGAAATTTGGAACAAGTCAATTTGAAATGGGCTTTAATGTTATAAAGAATGTCTAGTGTTTAAGAAACAGAATATGCATAAACACATAAACTCAAACTTTAACAACGCCATTGTAACAGTGGGAATCATAGAACAAATGCCAAAATAGGAAAGTAATTAATTGATGGAAATTAAATCCAATTTATCTGCAGAGCACCAGACTGAGGAAGCCCAAAGACAATATGAAGGAACTTTATGGCTTGGTATTTCTGTCTTGTGATGGATTGACTATGGCCTAGTCTAATAGGCCTAACATATATTTAGAATGGAAATAGGATAGTGTGACAGGCGTTAATGGGGCCACAGAGTAGCATGACCTCTGTAGCTGTCCATAAGGAATATAAGCCTTGAAACAAAGATCTCATCCAGTACTATTACATTTCAAAGAAGCATGCTGGTTTTAAAATAATTACACATTGTTTTCTCTGACAAACAGATGGGGAGGTTGTGCCATTGGTGATGACTGATATGAAATATTTATGCCTTCAGAAAAGAAAGCTTGGGAAATGCCTGAACATGTTCTTCACTTTGGGGAAAAACAGGAAAAGCTCATTGTAATTTGTCCAGGCCATTTAATCTCTAGAAATATTTCTGAAGAGGTAGTGGATATCATTGTACAAATGTTTACTGAATGGATAGGCGAGATTCTGACATTTTGGCGAAGACCTTACTGCACCCATGTGACTCAACTCTTTGCATTGGGTAGAGTACATGTAGGATAATCAATATCTGGATGACTAAATCAACAAAGATTATTATTGCCCATATCAATCTTGCTGATGGATGGACTATGGAATTGAACAAGCTAGTTCTTTTGATGGACAACAATGCAAGGATGACATTTCCCCTTAGAATATACACAATCCTATTGATTGTACCAGTCCTAACAAAATCCATTAACATAGTATTCTGAAATATTATCAACCTGCATTAAAGTTGGAAACACCATAGTATGATGTTATTGCTCTCTTTTTAAAGGCAAGTTCTATGATTTGTGCACATGTATAGTACTTTTGTTATAAAGTGTTACAGAACTCACTTTTTCTGTGTCATTTTTCACTAGAGGGAGCTGGAATTTTGGTGAAATTTCATCAACTCTATTTCTTGTTTTCAACTAATCCTGAAATGCTACTGGAAGTGCTGGACAGATACTTGGAACTGGTATAGTCTGGGTAAGAACAAATTAATTGAATTTTAATCCAGACATGGGTATAGTTGGTGGTTCATTTGTCAAAATAATGAGGTGGTGTCTCATTTGTCCTAAATTAAAATACAATTGCTCCCAAAGAATTTCACAGCATTTCTGAAACCATTTTTGGCTTTCAGCATCCAGCTAGCATCTATAGCACAAATCAAATTTGCTCAGCCTCAGATGGTTTATCTATGTTCTTCCAGTTTGGGTAAAATTACCTTTGTCATTGTTACCCATATCTTAAGGATTTCTGTTACTATGGTTGGTCACACAGTCAGCCAGATGTTTAGATTGGATTTGGCACTTTTGACCATTCTCAAGGTCCTGGGATGGGCAGATTTGTTGTTTTTTTAATAATACTAAAGGTATTGTATCAGGATATACATTGCTCCGATTATTATGGCTGGTCACACATCAGCCAGATATTTAGATTAGATTTGTTATACTATGGACATAGGGCAAACTTGAGATATTTGTTTAGATATTATAGTTTATGTGTGTGACTTTGAACACTCTCCTAACTTAATCTACTTCACAAAGATATTGGGCCAATGCAGTTACAGTTAAGTTATTGGATTTAGACCTAGGATTCCAAGTCAAATTCCCCTTTAACCAATAGTTTCAGTAGAATAAAATATATGTAGCTCAGAGCTGAACTGTGGAGTTCTTGGTATTCTCTGAGCTTGGTTGTTTGTTTGTGGATGTTTCATTACCCAACTAGATAACATCATCAGTGCAAGTGAATTTGGAGTTTGCTGCCTCCCATTTTTAGTGAAGGTGTGGTCTTCTCCTTGGTGGTTCCTTGAATGAAGTAGGCACATATAGAGATAAGTAATGTTTATATACCATTCAAAAATAACAATTAAAAAAATGTAGAAAGGAAAGAAAAAGACTAAGACACACAGGTCTCTAGCAGCTAATACTCAGATAAGCAGAGATCAACCCCAGACAAACAGGCAGAAAACAAATATCTAATGAAGGAACTGTCAAGGAGAACTGATCTTTTCCCTTACCCCCCCCCTCCCAAAAAAGATCTTTCAGGGCAAGATATTATAACTTGCACTGAAGATGTTACCTAGTCGAGTATTGAAATATCTGGAAGCAAATAACCAGGCTCAGATATTACTAAGAAATCTATAGTCAAAAGTGTATTAAATGCTTGGGCATTTCCCCTATGCTGCGTTCATGTGTGTGAGAGGGATGAGAGGGGAGGAAGGAGTAGGGAGGAAGTAGGATGGTTAGAGGAGAAGGGGAGGGGAAGAGAGTAGGAGGGGAGGAGAGAAAGAGGAGGGAAGTAGGGAAGGATTAGAGAGGGTGGACGCAGCCTGGGGGGAATGGAAAGGCGGTACCAGTGGTTAGGAATTTATTTTAATTGAATTGTATTTTGTATAAATGGAAAATAAAAACTTTTTAATAAAAAAGGTGCCAGGAGGAAAAAAAAAGTGTATTAGATATCTTTTGCTCAATTATTTTCTCTCAGCCCAACTGAACATGCAGGGCTGAAGTGATCTGTCATACGGACACATGCAAGAAGTATTATGGACTCCATTCTGAGGTACATTGGGCAGAAAGTGGAATGAAGAAAGATTTAATTAAATTTTGTACATGCTAATTTCTTTCTTATAAAAATGTGATAGAGATACATTGAATAAATAACATATTAAAATAGAGAGGTTGTGCCTTTGAGTCAATGTTGGTTCCTGGTGGCTGTCTGGACTAGCCATGTTTAAATAAATATAATTATCTCTGGAGAGGAAATGAGAGGTAATTCCAGCTCTGTCAGTTCTGTTGAAAACTGGATCCATGAAACAATGATAGCCTTTAAGGAAAAATGAGAAGACCAGAGAAAGAGAAAGATAGATCAAAAGGAGTAGAAGATGGTTTTCACACCGTTCAAACAATAGAACTCATTTATTTGATCTAAATGTATTTGTCTCCAGTAGTGACTAGATATCTCTCAGTTCTTCCACAGCCCCACATTCATGATAGCATTTCAAAGGCATAATTTTTGTCAAATATGGAGCTGGAAAGAATTAAATTAGTTGGACTAATTGCATGGTTTAGCAGAAAAACCCTGGAGAATTTGTATTATGAATGAATTGAATGAATGAATGAATGAATGATTTTAGAATTGGAGATATTTCTCTTTGGAATCATCTGTACCATTGTATTTTTTATTAATATGATTATGAAAGAAAGTGAAACCAAACAACCACAAATACAATTCCAGAAAATGCTGCTTTTTAGAGTTTCTGGCATGGTAGTTTTAACCTTTCTTTGTGCTATTCCCAACTCTAGATATTTTTTTCCACTCCATCTTTTTTTTTTTTTTTTTTTTTTAAATCCAGTTCTTTTCTGCCAACAGCTACTGCAGTTTGCTGACATGTCAGGCATGTCAAAGGACACTGCTGGTTTAACAGTGACCAGAAAAGGCCTTTTATCAGGATGACACATATCAACACCCTCAAGTGCCCCCAAAGGGGAAGGGATGCTTCCAGGCCATTCCAAAAAAAACAGGTAGAATCCTTTAAACCATCTTAAGTTTGGAAAAAAAGGAGGAGGAGGAGGAGGAGGAGGAGGAGGAGGAGGAGGAGGAGGAGGAGGAGGAGGGTGGTGAAGTTAAGTTGGGTTGATATTCTGCATACATTTTTCACAGAGAATGCCTCCAATTAATTGACTAGTACTTACTTTTGCCCTTTGTGGAATGATTTATAATACAACCCTACCAGTGATAATAACTATTTGCAAAGTTAGTGAGCCCAATGGGCCATACTAGTGCCTTTTAACCTTTTTTATAAAAAAATTAAATGTAGTAGAACGGATATTGCGCATAGTGGCATGAAGCTGGATTCTGGCCTGCATCTCATACTAAAGATGGTCCTTTTCTTTTCTCTTGTTTAAACATAAAACACACTTCATGCATGAGTGTGCGCATGCACGCACACTTACATGATATTTCATCAGGTAAACAGATGCCAGAGCACTGTGCCGAGTGGTTCCTGCCAACCACTGTGATATTCCCCAATTTTATTCCATTGCTCTCACCTAATGAGAGGCATATTTTAAAGTATGAATGATGCTGATGTACAGTATATGTATCCCAACGATGCAAATCTTTGACAGGAAACCTTTCTGCTCCCAAAGAGGAGGCAGGATGATCCTGAACGAAGGAAAACTTTAGGGATCTCAAAGTCCTGCTGAAAAGGAGGTACAATCCAGGTGAGAGAGGCAAGGGAAAGAAAATAATATGTCTAATGCTGCTGATGAAACAGTGTCTACGAAGAAGGCATCCCTGACCCTTGTCCAATAGTATGATTCTGTTGAGATAGAGAAATACAGTTCTCCCATCTGTCTCCCTCCCATACCTTTGTGAAGCACACCAAATATCTGTCTGCATTTAACGTCTGCACTTTCCCACCTACCGCCCCCAGGTCAAGTTCCAACTTTTTGCCCTAAGTAAAGTTTGCCCTCTAGTTTCTGCTCTGCTCTCTTACCTGCAGCAGTAAAATGATGCTTTCTGGGCTGCTGCTGTGCCTGCAAGCAGAAACGTCCCTTCTCCATCCACCTCCGTCTGAATCTCGGAGCAACTGGGTCTCTTTTCTTCTTTCTCCGCTCCCTCCTAGTTGCTTGAGCTGGAGCAGAGGAAGGAAGAGTGGGGGGGGGGAGGTGAGAGGAGAGGGAGGAGAAGGGCCGAGCTGAAACTTTAATAGCACAGAGGCCCTTTTCTTTTGCAGCATATGGTATATTTCGCCCATACTGAAGACATTAGGCATCTATATTTTGAAAGGGCTTACTTCAAAAGTGTACATGCAGCCCATGCTTAGCATTCTGAAAACACACTCTGGGAAGGGTTAGGATCTCTGGCAAAGCCAAACAGAGAAAAGGAAACTGGCCAGCCTTGAGATGCTTTGAACGCTAACAGGAACGTTTTCTTCTTTTGAATTCCAGGGCTGCATGCGTTTAATTTTATATACAAGCCTTGGTGGATGATCCATGTTAACAAGTTTCTTTATTGCTCATTTGGCCCAGAATCTCAGCTCCAGATGCTTCTCTACAAGGACTGGTTCTCACCATAGTTTTCTGGCTCTAAGAAGGGGCTCCATGGTGAGACTCTTTTTTTTCCCCACTCCCCACATCACTAAGTCCACAGAGTTTACCGTGTTCCAATTTCCAGAACTGTGGGAGGGGTTGTGTCTGGCCCAAACAGATAAGATGCAGTGGCAAAGATAAGGAATGGAAACATCTGGCAATAATTTAAATATATAAATATTTGCCTTGAAGCCCGAACCCCTTCAAAGTCTTACCCTTTACTCCTGCTCTGAGCAAAGAAACTATTGGTAAGAGTCTAACAATGTCCTCCATATCCAATTCCTAAACAGCTCTATTTTTTTAAACAACAGATTCTTAAGGGTCTTTCCATACTATTGCTAGCCATTCATCCCTGAGTTAGCAGAATCATAACATTTGTTCTCATGGTCCATGGCTGATTCCCACCCTGCCTTGGTTCTCGGTCACTGCCAATCACCTGATTTCCCTCTGTAATAATATTTCACCAAGATTTTAGACACCTTAAGGGTGCTCTTGGATGGTGTCAGAAAATGGGGAAAATTCTACAGTGTTGTAATACCATAAAAGCTAATAACAAGTTAAGCCTCTTTCACTCATCAGCTAGAACAAGAGGAAAGCAATCTTATAGGAACAAGGCAGGAAAAACATGTTTCCAAGGCATGTTTTCTGCAGGAGTTAGGTTCAATAGGGATCAGACCAATATTTCTAATGCAATGCATACATATTTCCTTGGTTTTTATTTCAGCTTTGTGTGGCTGACTCAGGAATTCTGGGAGTTGAAGTCCACGAGTCATAAAAGAGCCAAGTTTGCCTACCCCTGATCTAGACCATCAGGAAGAGCCGACCGATAGAAATCAACCAAAACAAATGACCTAAGCTGCAAAATAATGTCCTGTGTTAGCAACAGCCCAAGCTGTTCAGCCCATAGGGCAGAATCAGATCATTGTAGAGTTAGGAAGGACCATTCAGGTTATTGACTCCAGCTCCCTAATGAATGCAGGCATCCAACGAAAGGCATTCCAGACAGTGGGTTGATGAGCTTTCACTGAAACACATTCTGCAAAGGGGACCCCCATCATCTCTGGGTAATTGGATCCACCACCATCAAATTGCCTTTACTGTTTACAGTTCAACAATTTATCAATTCTACATATGGGAAATATTAAGGGATAGGATCAAACTACATGTTGCATGAATTACATAGGGTGCAACAACAAGCCCTGTATTTGTTTAAACTTTTAATAAATATCAGGACTATATTGCAAATGGATGCTATTGCAAAGGGGGACGCACAGACACCCATACCCTTCTTAAACACTCATATAGAGTGGTTGGAATTTTAGGAATGAAATTCCTGCAGTAAGGAAGTTTTAAACCTTTGCTCTGCAGGCCTGCTCTTGAGAGCTTAAAAAATGAGGATCAGCTGCACAGTACATATTAAACAGAACATGTAGTTAGTCCTGAGTCTCAAATTTATATGGTAAAAGATGAATCCACAGCTTTCAATTCAAAACATATGGGCACTAAATCATTCAAAAAAGAGAATTCAGCCACAAGCAAATAATTCAAATGACAGGCAAAACTTATTGGTATTAAAGAGCAGCTTAATCACAAACTAGCGATTGTCATAAGATGCACCTGGGCAATGTGGTTTTGGTATAGACTTGATTTCCTTTTAAGAATAGGAAGACTTGTATGAATGATTGGGGCATTAGACTTGGATCAAGTTCAAATTCAGTCTTAATTATGGAAGCTCACTGGGAGACTCTAGGTCAGTTCCTCTCCCATAGCCCAAGCTATCTTAGAGAGTTGTTGAGAAAAATGGCAGAAAACAGTATATATCATCTTGAGCTCCTGAAGGATGTAAATCTAACAGACTTAATAAAAATGCACACAGAGATTGTCAAGTGAGGAGTTAATGTATTTCAGTTTCACTTAACAATGGACATCTGCCCGTGTTTCTCACAATTGCATACATATTAAAGATGTAATGGTGATTTAAATGTCTCCCCTGTGCTTATGCACTTCCAAATCTACTTTATCCACCACCAGTATCAAGAAATCCCAAAAGCTATCCTTCGGTTTGCTAATGTGTCTGCCAAGATGAGGGGGGAAAGCAGCTCATCAAACCGGACAGGTTAAAACAAAAACAGCCCCTCCTTATCCTCACTACTGAAAATAGATTAAGGTGAATACCTAAATGTTAAGGGTTTTCCTCCTGTGCTTTTAACAGATTAAATCAAATTATATGTTCCTTATAACTCTGCTTCTCTGCCAAGGAAAACCTCTGTAAAAGGCAGCTGAACTGGCTTATTCAAAAAGCTGGTAACTACCATGAAATTTGCTGACTCATTTTCAGAAGGCTTTGCTCGGTGCCAACCTTGACTGACCGTGCCATCATGAACTTTGGGAACTGCCCAGAGTTTGGTACAAGATGGGTGGCAATCAATCAATAAACAAATCAATTCACCAACAACCTTTTGGATTTTATTCTTCAGCCCAGAGAAAGTGGTGGAGCTGAAAGTGATGGTCTTCAGCTACTCTGCATTAACAATGGACTCTATTATGCTTGCACTTAATTCCCATTTGAAGTAATACATATTTGTCTGAAGTGACAAATTGGGAGCTATGGAGCCAGCCAAGTGCTACTTTTCTCTTGCATTTTAAAGAACTGTGAAATAATAGCATGTGGGCAAGATGCTATGGCAGTATTGCCTTTATGGGAAGTGGGGCAGAAAAGCTAGGCCTTGCATTAATTTGAATGCAAACAGGAGCCAGGAGCTAAAACAGAGGAGGATACAAGAGTTTCTGCTATTGGGAGACCAGCTCATCCACATGCTTTCTCAAGCTTCAGCTTATTAGAAGAAAAGCGATTTTAAATACAGCAGCAGGAGCTAGAAATAAATAAACTCAATGTCAAACCAGGGTTGACACTGTGAGATCATAAAGCTATGAACCTGGTCTTGAATTGGTGCATAATACATGGGCTGAGGAATCCAAAGTCTGAGCTGAAGGGTAATGCTACACTAGCATTTCCATCTCCTAAACATTCCCCTCCAAAGCACTCTTAGAATAGGGTTAGTTTGCCAGCATTTCCTCCCTGGAGATTATTCACTAATCCCAAAACAGAGCTGTGCCCTCTATATCTGTCTTTGCCTTGCCTACTTGCCAACCATGTAAAGCTAAAGAATTTTAGGGAGCAAAAATGTGTGTGTTGATGCCAGCGTGCTCAAATCTGAAGTGAAAGTGCTCAAAGGGACTTCAAACTATTGAAATGTCCATGTCCATGTTTCCTATTTTTACCACTGAGACATTCCTGTGTTCTATCCAGGACAAACAGGCTCTCTTCATGAATACAAATCTGATATTAAAAAAGCACACACATGTCACAAAACAATATTCAAAATCTCCAGAGAAAGTACTGAATATATTTCAAGTTTCTGTACGAGCATTTATTCTACAATTTCTCCACCCAACTCATTCCCAGAATTTTATAGAGAACCCAGATGTCATTATTAGCTGTACTATCACACTGGAAACCATCAGTGAAACACTCTTGTTCTTAATACAAAAGCAAAAACAACAACTAGAGACCAGGACAAGTTATAATCCATTAAGAAATTCATTTAGCTCTCTTCTACTTTGAAGTGAACTGAACCAGGGTAGACACGATTGCAAAATAAATCTACTGTGAAAGTGCAATCAGCAACAAAAATGGTTGAAATTGCCAAAGTGTGAATCACCTGCATTTTGGTGTCATTTGATCACATTTATTACACTTCCAGTCATCCCTCAGCCATGTTTAGATACTTCAGGATAATACTTCGGGCATATAATGAGGTGAGTTGGTAGGGGAACCTATAAAAAGTTATGTATAATAAATATTTTATCACATAACTCTTTGCTATTAATATTTTTTAAAACTTTCAGTTCACTAGTGTCCTTAACATGTTGAAGTTTCTGAATGATTTAGGAGATAAGTGCTAGTTAAATTCCTAAATAATTGCTATTGCTTAGAACTACAATTCCCAGTGATATTTCCAAGCAGACATATATAGCAGGCTTGTCATGAGCCAACACTGGTTGATTAGAAAAAAATCCTGTAGATCTTTTTCTGATAATTTTTCCAGAACGTGCCTTCCAAACAGTGTTTGTCATTCACTAGTGAGTGTAGTAGAGGAGCAGAATTTTATAGGACATAGTGGTGGGATTCAGCCGGTTCGCACCACTTCAGCAGAACTGATAGCTAATTTTTTGTTGTCCAGGCCCAGAATGGACTTCCAGAAGCAGCATCCATACAGAGAACCGGTTGTTCACATATTTGAATCCCACCACTGGACATATATTCATGGTCATTGACTAATTGCAGACCAAACAGAGAAAATTCATTCTAAAATGATTGTCAAGAACAACTGCATCAATACCCAAAAGCTACTCATATAACAATGGTGCATTTGGCTAGAAACACAACATTCACCACGGAGGCTACTCCGAGGCAATGTTTAAAGTAGCTGATGTCTGTAAATGTGATTATCATCCAACACAGATGCTTGCTTTGTCT